GAGTGGGACCTCGTCAAAACGTCGTCAAGATACTTTCAATCTTACATGGGAAAAGACCCAAATACGCCAAGACCTGCATATATATATGTGTGTGTGTGTGTGTGATTTTTTTGCCAAACTCCCAATTTCTATATCTGATTCACAGAATAACCTTTATTTAAACAAAACAAAAATTGCTTCTCCAGATCAATATAATTTCAAGCTGATGTTATCTACCTGTGGAACTTTGTAGATATCCAAGACATTTGCAATGTCAATTGATGTTTTGGAGTCTAATCCCCCAATCACTGCTGTCAGATGGTTCTCAATACCAGAGATGTAGTTGGGAACAAAATTCTTCAAGCTGTAAAGTAGAAGCATTGTGGCATGATAGGTCTTCTCTGCACTGAAGTGACTGTCATAAATGTGGAAGCCCAGGGTGACATTGGGTAAGATATGAGGATTTTCATTGATCTCCTTCACTGCAAATACCAAGGCCAGGATATGTTGGTAATTCTTAGGCAACAGGCTGGAATAGAATCAATTTATTTATGATATTGAAGTTTAAATCTAAAAAAACCTGTTTTGCATCCTCCTTATTGGGGTACCCTTGAAATCATTTCTTTTTATTATTACAGATATCTGGGTCATATTTAATTGATTAAGGACAATGGTAGGACAGTATAAAATTTACAAAGTTACAAAATGGTGTTTTATTCATTTTTATGCTTTTATTTCTGCAAACAACTTTGTGGTGCAGAGTAGTATACAAAATATAAGTCAATAAAAAGTGAGTTTGGATCATTAAATAATCTAAAGAAATATCACTCATCATTGGAGAATAGCATCTCCATATTGTATTAGCCAAAAGAGTGGGAAAATTGGAAGTGACAATCTCTGCAATTTATAAAGGGAAGGCTTTGGATTATTTATTAAGGTAATTGGAACTCTGAATAAATAGTTAAATGAGGAATTTTAATGCTGTATTTTCACTAATATTCTGCCCAACATATTAGGTTATGGATAGAAGAAGGAGAGATCAGATCAATAAAAAGGTAATATTTGTTTGAGAAGGTTTCAAAAGGAAATGATAGATGACAAGGAAAATAATAAAGGAAATTATGGACATCCATAACAATTCAAAACTGAGTAATTGAATCCAGCTCTATGACCAATTATTCCCACAACAAAACTAAAGCAAAATCCTTACATGAGATCTTCCTGCAATGGTGGTAGTGGCACTTGTTCAAAATTTAGGGCACCATGCAAAAAACTGCCTAGGATCCCTATGCCACCTACTATGAGATCTCCCCATTGATGATATCTGTGATATGGCACAAAAAGACTTTGAAATTTACATTTCACTTGATCAGTCCTATATACTTGGGGAGAAAATAGTGTTAGCAGCAAGATTGTTAAAGCCACCATTCTCAAAGCAAATCCAAATTTTGCCTATCATAAGTATTGTACTTTTCTTATTTTTATTTTTATTTCTTTGTGATGTGAAAATTAAAAGTATAGTAATAAAAACTCCTGACAGCCAACCCTTTAGAGAAGAATCTATCAGAAATCACCCTGGACAGTTCGTGTCTGTTTTCACTCTTTCTTCCAGCTTGAAAAATACCATAAACTGGTGTGTTAATAATATCCTTCAAACTTTTTGCTGTTGATCTTGAACTTGGACACTGAAGTTCGGCATGAAGTAAACAAAAAGAAAACTACCAGTATTATTATAATTAAGGAACTAAGTAATTACCAGTATAAATCCCAGAGAAATAAAGAAAAATATATGCTTTGGAAAGAACATTTATTATGAAATAATCAGTAACAAAAAAAGTTATGCTTTACATGATCTTTCCCCAACCTTCTTTCCCCAAATATCTGTCCTGACTCCCCAGATAGAAGATGACCAAATCTAACCTATCTTCAGTTTTCTTAAGATATGCCTGAAAGTCTGAGAGAGAGAGAGAGAGAGACAGAGAGAGAGAGAGAGAGAAAGAGAGAGAGAGAGAGAGAGGTAGATAAGTAGATAGATAGATAGATAGATAGATAGATAGATAGATAGACAGACAGACAGACAGACAGACAGACAGACAGACAGACAGACAGACAGACAGACAGACAGACAGACAGACAGACAGACAGACAGACAGACGATGATAGGTAAGTAGATGATACTGTGTTTCCCGGAAAATAAGACCTATCCCAAAAATAAGACCTAGCTTTATTGTTATGTATGCACTTAATAAGCACAAAATAAGCCCTGGTTTTGGGACAATGCAAAGGCATAAAAATCAAGCTAGGGCGGGGGTGAGGGAGTGGAGCTATGCCCCATACCCACTTAGCTTAGGACCGTCACAGCCAGGCCTCTCACACCCCAACACCTGCCACGCCACTGCCCGACTTTTGCAGCCACTTGGAGCCACTCGTGGAAGGATGCCATGTGGCAGGAGGATGCCACACTCGCAGCAGGAAGCCACATGACACTTCTTGCCGGTGCTGCCACCATGGCAGGAGGCTGTGTGGCGTATTGTATTGGTGCACCGCTCATGGTGGGCCATGTGGCTCATCACGCCAGTGCCACCGCTCAAAGCAGGAGGCCCTGTGGTGCTTCACACAAGTGCAGCCATTTGTGGCTTTGCTTTGCGCCACTGTTGTCGCTCATGGCAGGAGGCCACAAGCTGCACCATCCCAGTGTAGCCACTCATGGCAGCAGGCCACGTAGCACATTGTGCCATGGTGTACCAGAGCGGCAGCACCGGCACAATGCAAGTCCTACTGTGAGTGACAGCATTGGCATGACATGAGACATAACTTCCTGCCATAAGCGGCAGCACCGGCACAATGAGAAATGTGGCCTCCTGATGTGAGCAGTGGCATCGGCATGATGTACCACATGGCATCTGACAAGTGGTCGCAAGCGGCCACAAAATAATTCAGGTAGCAGTGCAACAGGTGTTGGGGCATGGGATGTCTGGCTGTGGCAGTCCTAAGGTAAGCAGGTAAGACATCCCCCTAAAATAAGACCTGGTGCCTCTTTTGGAGGCAAAATAAATATAAGACTGGGTCTTATTTTGGGGGAAACACAGATAGATAGATAGATAGATAGATAGATAGATAGATAGATAGATAGATAGATAGATAGATAGATAGATAGATAGATAGATAGATAGATAGATAGATAGATAGATAGATAGATAGATAGATAGATAGATAGATAGATAGATAGATAGATAGATATGGATGGATGGATGGATGGATGGATGGATGGATGGATGGATGGATAGATGGATGATAGAAGATAGATTAGCATAGCTAGATCTATGCCAATTTATCTTTAGTTTTCTTAAAATATGCCCGAAAGTTAAATAATTAAGTGCAATATTTGTACTTACAGATTTAGGTAATTGGATATGCTCTGCTTTAGTGACCTGACCTATCTCTAGCCAGCGTGAATTTTAAAACTGAAATTATTTAATATATATTAATCTTAATATTTCTGTACACTATCATGTTGAAGAGAGTTCACAGTAACAATACTGTCATGCTTAAATGTTTCTGAGCCCTTTTAAATTTTCAATATTTTAACATAAATATGACCTAAAACAGGATTTGTTCTCTATACAATTACAATTACTAGATCTGTGGTGGCGAACCTATAGCATGCGTGCAACAGGTGGCACACAAGCACCGTCACCCCAGTCCTAGGCCTTCAGTCCCATCCATGAGCAATCTGCATCAATACCACGTGTTTGTGGGACTATCAGTAAAAAAAAAAGTTCCATCAGACTTTCTAACTTCTTGAGATCTCACAAGAAGTTAGAAAGTCTGATGGAACTTTTTTTTTTTACCGATAGTCCCACAAACATGCGGCAAAGCTGAGAAGCGAATGGAGAAAAAGAATGCAGCTGAAACGCAGGTTAGTAAAAAATGCTTGGGGGAGGCAAGGGCATCTGGGCGGGGGCGGGGGTGGCAACCTTACCCTGCATGGAGGCAAGAGAGTGAGGTGCATGCCCTTCCCATGCCAGGCCACCACCTCCAGCCCTGGGGTGGCAGTGCTGGACGGCGGTGAGCAGGGTTGGGGCTGGCAGGCCGACCAAAGCCGCAGGTCGAGCACCAGAGACTCAGGGAGGAAGGGCCCTGGAAGTGGGCGGTTGGTCCATTGACAAGAGCAACGGATCTGAGCAGAAAGCGGCCTCGGAACAAGTGGGGCAGGTAAGGAAAGAAATCCTCGCTCCCCCCAGGAATTGTCTTTCTTTCCTTACCTGACTTCCAGCCCCATGCTGTTTCTCCTTCGCAATCCACCACTGCCGCATGCAAGGAAACAAAGGAATTTTATATGGGGGGGGAAAGGTCAATCAATCAATTCCAACTTCTTGTGAAAGATCGTGAAGTTAGAATTGATTGACTGACCTTTTTTTCCCCCAAAAAACCTTCCTTTGTTTCCTTGCACGGGGTCGTGGCGGATTGCGAAGAGAAATGGTACGAGGCTGGAAGTCAGGTAAGGAAAGAAAGGAAAGAGATGCTTTTTTTATTATTCCCACAAAAATCGGGCACTCCACTCCACTCCCAGAGACGCCAGCTCCAAGTAACAAAAATAAAATAAAGCAACCACCCCCAAATACCATTCCAAGGCGTTGCCAATGATTAACATGTGTGCGTGTGTCCAGGAGTGGGGCAGGTCATCTGCAGCCCCACAGGTGAAATGTCACCTGCAAGTCCCTTGGGTGAAGAGTTTTTGACTAGGTTTTTTCCAAATATTCCAATTATTAAGAGCCGTGGTGGCACAGTGGTTACAATGCAGTACTGCAGGCTAATTCTGCCAACTGCCAATTGCCAGCAGTTTGGCAGTTCGATTCTCACCAGCTCAAGGTTGACTCAGCCTTCTATCCTTCTGAGGTCAGTAAAATGAGGACCCAGATTGTTGGGGGCAATAGGCTGACTCACTTAAAGAAGGCTCTAAAGCACTGTGAAACAGTATATAAGTCTAGGTCCTATTGCTATTGCTATTAAGTTTATCTTTAGCTTTGCATGTCTCTGTCATGGGCTGCGTCTGCTCTCCCTNTCAAATCAGGCCTTAAAACAATTACATAACATTTGGGAAGAAAGATGCAGCCCAGCAAACCAGCACTAGAGGCCAAGATGGAAAATATCTCCACCGCCACCATGTACTTCCCCTTGGTGCTCAGGTAGGTTGGAACAAACGATATCCAAACACTGCAGAAGACCAACATGCTGAAAGTGATGAACTTGGCTTCATTGAATGTATCAGGTAATTTCCTGGCCATGAAGGCAACTATGAAACTAATAACAGCCAAGAAGCCCAAATAGCTTAAGACACTGTAGAACATAGTCACAGAGCCTTGATTGCACTGCAGAATAATTTCTTCAACTACTGAATCCATGTCAGTGTCTGGGAATGGGGGAGAAGTTATTAGCCATGTCATGCAAATACCTATTTGAATAAGAGAACAGGTGATGACAATGGAGTTCGACAATCTCTTTCCCACAAACATTCGCATCTTGGATCCTGGCTTGGTGGCCAGGAAAGCCAGAACCACTGTGACGGTTTTTGCCAACACTGAAGAAACAGCCACTGCAAAGACAACCCCAAAAGTCGTTTGTTGCAGGAGACATACCATCTTCTCAGGATGACCAATGAATAGGAATGCAGAAAGGAAGCAGAGCAGGAGGGAGATGAGGAGACTGTAAGTGAGGTCTCGGTTATTGGCAATGATGATAGGAGTATTGTGGTTCTTCACAAATATTGCAAGCACCATCACTGAGACCAAAGAAAAGAAAAGGGCAAACAAAACTAAAGTGATCCCCAAAAGTTCTTCATAAGATAAAAATGTCATTGTTTTAGGTATACAAAAATTGTGGTTCTTGTTTGGATAGCTTCCTTGTATACATGGATAACATTCATTACTATCTGAAAAATCAAATGGATTAATGTGTTTAGAAGTATCTCAAGTACAAGGCATATAAAAAAAGGTCAAAGAACATAAGTCAGACACAGAAGATGGAGAGACATCAAATAAAGACTACAAAAACATCAATTAAAAAAGCATCAATTAAGAATGGTTGAGACTGCCAAAAGAGGAGGAGGAGGAGGAGGAGAGAGGGGGGGAGGGGGGGAGGGAGGGAGGGAGAGAGAGAGAGAGAGAAAAGAATAGAATAGAATAGAATAGAATAGAATAGAATAGAATAGAATAGAATTAAAATATATAATGCACATTTCATTCTGTTATTATTGAATATTTCTATTCCAGTTTTCTTCCAGGTTCAATTCAATATTCTGGTTATTACCTTTAAATCCCTTTATAGTACAGGTCACATTATCTGCAGAACCATCTTTACCTGACAGGTAGGGTGGGCACCTTCCTAGTTTCCTTTCTTAAACATGGCCGTCTTATGGGATCTAGGAAGCCTGTCTTTTCTGTGGCAGCTCTTGCCCTATGGAACACCCTTCTTCTTAAAATCTGACAAGCCTCTACCCTTCTAGACTTCCAAAAAACACGTAAAACTTGGGTTTTACCCCATGTGCTGGAATAGGGTGAGATGGACTGGAGGGTTGAATGAGGGACTGAATGTGGAAGCTTAACATAGATGCCAGGCTTTTAAGGCTTAGGGTTTAAATATCAATTACATTTAATATTATTGATGTTCTTTAGTGGTTGATTGGGACCACCCCATATTTCATGTTAAGATGGGGTCTATATAAATATCTAAAATAAAAAAATAAATTTAAAAAATATACTATCATTATTTTTCCCATGCAAACTATAATCTAATTACACACTAAGCTTCCATATTTCATTGTGAGATCTGGCAAAGTGCACTTTTCAGGTTCTTAATTGTAAACCAGAAAAGTTCACGTAGTCCCCATAAATACGTGTAGTATAAAAATATCGAGATTTTTTTAGTCTTCAGATTTTATTTTGTTCAGTTTTATTAAAAATTCTGGGATAAGGATCCATTGGTGTGGACAAATTTGTATTTCATTGTTTTTCTAAATTACTTTGAGTTTGATTGATAATCCAAACATATTATTTCTTACCTTCCTTCTCGGAAATCTTCCCATCTGGACACAGGATGCAGTCATAGCAGCAAAAGGGTTCCCCTTCCTTCACTTTCTTGTTTGAACCAGGGTGGCAACTTTCAGAACATACTGAAAGAGGCTGGGACTGAAGCATCAACAAGAAAGAAACAAAAGGAGAATGCCAATATTGATGTAATGACCTTGGAGATTCCAGCAAAAGATGTTAATATGAATGAGAATCACAGGAAGCATCTAATTAACTGTGCAATAGTGATACCCTTCTTTATAATCAACGTGATACATTGGAATTAAGAAGGTTGTCATCTCCTTATTAAGAATACTGGTCCAATATGTCATTATAGAATATGCCATCAGACATCGATATCACAGCTCTCACTTAAGCTACAGTTATTCAACTGAAGACTATTTCCAATAAAAACAGGAAGTCATCTCAGTAAATAATGAATTAATGACAAATGGCCATTCCTTCATAAATAATGCTAAACTCTGAATTATAGATGGACATAATTGGTGGCATGATTAATGCTGTGGTTTACCTCTTTTTTCTAAAGCTTTCAGGTAACTTTTAAAGAAAGAATCCATTTCCTTCAAAACAATGTATATTGTTAACAATGGAACATATTTACCAGTGCTCTGGGAATTATGTAATCTATTAGGGTTCAAGAAAATCTTGATAAAAGAAATCCACAATTATATAAACAAAAAAAAATAAAAAATGTAAATAACTTTAATGGGGTTGTTTTTCTTCAAGGAGTTATATTTTTCACTATAAATTGTTTAAGTCACCATAAGCAATGCATTTGATATCCATGAAGAGTAAGGTATAATGTTTTAGGACTTCAGATCAACCTTATATTACACATAATAAATTCATAAGTACTGTAGAACTGGAGCAAAAACATCTTGGCTCCATTTTCTGAATTAATTAACATGTTTTTCTACAAATCATCTCTCAATACTGAGTTACTCCTGCTTATCACTAATCAGTGAAATTAACATTACACATCTGGCCAAAGCAATGGTGACCTGGAAGCGAGATTTTTCATAGAATCCTAGAAATCAGACCTTACCTGGTTAAACCAGCTGTGCCAGATTATGGCATCTTCACTAATAGAGAACCTTTGGTCCGATGGAGCTTCAGGGTCTAATCTGCCAACTCTTTTCCTAATGAAGGATTGGTTAGAAGAAACAATCCAGTTCAATACATCATATCCCACTAGTAATTCTCCATTCTGGTCAAGTGTCACTTTGTCCCCAGCACTGTTGTTAAATGAAACACCTTTCAAGAAATGATGTAGCTATGTGGGCCAGTGGGAGAGAGAGAGAGATTAGAAAAAGAGGAATTAGATGCATTTTTAGGAAAAGCGTAAGACTAGGTGCAATGGACATTATCGGCTGATAAAAACATAGTCAAAAGAAATGGAAGCATGGGAAGGAAATGTAAAGAGAGCTAATTATGGAGATATGGAATGAATATGGAATTAATGATCTTCCAGATGTTGAGTTGATTACCTGCCATGAATTTAGAGTCTTAAGCTTCAGTCTTCCTGCCTCTGCTATTGATCTCTGTCTAAGTCTGGATGAAGACATAGCCTGTAAAGCATGGGCTATGGCATAGACAGAATTATAGATACTATAGCTATGACCAATCATGTTCATTTCAAAAAATGTTCCAGAAAGATCTTCTAGTTTTTCTTTCCCACTGCAAATATCTCCATTCACCTCATCCATATCTGAAGTTTTAAATACACAGTTGAAGGCTTGCTGCCAAAAGTCTTTCATAAAACCATCTTCTGCGCCAGAGGGATTTCTATTTAAAACAAAAGCTCTAAATCCTGGTGGGTTATTAGCATGAACTGTGAAGGACAGAGCACCATGGATCATTTGGGAATCCCAGTCACGTTGATAAACATGTGAAGTGAGCTCCACCTGGGCTGTCAATATCCAGACTTTGCCTTTGATGATATGGTCCATCTGTTCTTTTTTTGACAGATATGGTAACCATCTCAGTAGCATCATGGAATAAGATTCGCCATAAAATATCATTATATTTGTCTTGCTATCTATGATTTTATCATGGATTTCTGCACCTTGGTTGAACAAGCTGCCAATTTCATTAAAAGATGTTATTATGGCAATTTTCTCTATGATTTCAAAGCAAACACCATGCTTGAAAAATAATGGTATAATTGCATCTAAAAATCTTTCTCCATTTTCATTTTCCATCACACCAAGTGCAACCCATGTCCACCTGAAGTAAAGAAGCAAAGACAGGATCCCTTCATACTGAAGTCTTTCCATAGGGCTCATTTGGAAGAAGGAAAGGCGTGGGGTTTTATAATTCATGATTGGAGCAGAGCCATAGACCAGCTGAAGGAAAATTGACAGCAAAAGAAAGAGATAGTAAGAGTCACATTAACAGTAATGTGCAAGAGGCAGTAAACGGAAGACACAGCATACAACTTAGCTAATGTATTGCAAATTTCAGTATATATATCAGAAAGTCAGAAACATCTTTTCAGCTATCTTACCATATTCACTTTAAGTTTTTTTTTCATTGTTTATTTTACTGTTCTATTACTTTACATCTGTTCTGTTTACACTTTCATTTTCTTCTTTTTTATTATTGTCAGCCACCTAGAAAAGCCCCACAGTGAGATAGGTGGCCAATAAATTTAAGAAATAACAACAATTTAGTCTGACCATCCTGCTGACTGTGCAAGAAACAACAACAACAACAACAACAACAACAACAACAATAATAATAATAATAATAATAATAATAATAATAATAATAATAATAATAATAATATGCAGAAATCTGTATAAGGTTGTATATCTTCCCTCTGGCAGCATTGAGGATAACACAGTGACACTTCCTAACGTGGATACTCCATTATTTGTAGCAGAAATAATCTCTGTAGAGATCATTCGGGGTTATGAAATGACAATGAAACTGATCTTTGAGAAAATACATTGGAATTTTAGATCTGTCTTCAATTTGTTCAGCTCAAGGCCTGTTTATTGATCTGTATGACTGTCTATTCCAAGTGGATTTTATGAACAGGTGCACAGATAAAAGGGCATGGCATTCTTCACAATAGAATTGCATTTATCTCTCAAAGTAAGATGGGTCAGAAATTCACCCAAGGGGGTTTTCCTTAGCCTGTAATTCTGGTCACAGATTCTCATTTGAGCTGCTATGGAAGGATGTTCAATCATTTTATCTCAGTGTGAACGTCTGGCATTTTCCTTATGGCTGGTATGATGTTTTTGATCTATCTAAGTCTTCAGCCATTACCCAAACCCTTGGCACTCTTACAGTCTTGCAAATGTCTCCTCTGACTGCTGAGCAGCGGAAAGTCTGTACTATACAAATGAAGAGAAGTCAGTCTATGATTTGCCAGAGAAACTAAAGTGAGCTCAGACAGCAGCAGAACCCCAAATCTCTTCCATATTCTTTGAAACTCATGTTCTCAGGCTTTATTTATTTATTTTAGTTACTATCAGTTCCAATCTCTGACATAGCTTCAGAAACAGCAGGGTGGCTTCCTAGTCTATCAACTGCAGAACTTTAATTAAATTCCACTATTCTGCTCATGCTACCAAACATGTGAAAGTATCTGAGTCCTTTCAAATGTACCCAAAATGTCATACAGCCATACAGAATAACAGAGTTGGAAGGGACCTTGGAGGTCATCTAGTCCAACCCCCTGCTCAAGCAGAAGACTCTATACCATTTCTGACAAGGGGCTGTCAATGTTCTTCTTGAAAGCTTCCAGTGATGAAGCACCCACAACTTCTGAGGCAAGCTTTTCCATTGGTTGATTGTTCTCACTGTCAGAAAATTTCTCCTTAGTTCTAGTTTGACCCCTCCTCTCTATGACAGACCCTCAAATATTGGAACACTGTTATCATGTCACCCCTGGTCCTTTCCTTCATTAGACTAGCCATGCTCAGTACTTGCAACCGTTCTTCATATGTTTTAGCCTCCTGGCCCCTAATCATCTTTGTTGCTCTTCTCTGCACTCTTTCTAGAGTCTCAACATCTTTTTTTACAGTGTGATACCAAAACAGGAAGTAGTATTCTAGGTGGGTTTTACTAAGGCTTTATAGAATGGAACTAGTACCTCACATGATATTGATTCAATCCCTCTGTTGATGCAACTTATAATTGTATTGGCTTTTCTCTCTGTTGAATTTCATTTTATTAGATAGGGCCCAGTGTTCCTGTCTGTCGATATCCATCTGGATCATGCATCTATCATCTAGGGTGTTGGCTATACCTGCCAACTTAGTATAATCTGCAAATTTGATGAGTTCCCCTTCTATTCCCTCATCTAAGGCATTTATGCAGATATTGAAGAGTACTGGGCCTAAGACAGAACGTTGTGGTACCTCACTGCTTACTTCCCTCCATTTAGATGTAGTACCATTAAGGACTACATGCTGAGTATGGTTTGTCAGTCAGTTACAAATCCATCTGATGGTGATACCATCTATTCAACTTTTTTCTAGTTACCAAGAAGTAGGTTGTGGTCTACTTATAAATGCCTTACTAAAGTCTAGGTATACTATGTCCACAGCATTTTGCTGGTCTACTAATTTAGTCACTTTCTCAAAGAATGAAATAAATTGGTTTGGCATAATCTGTTTTTAATAAATCCATGCTGGCTTCTAGTTATAACTTTATCTGTTTCTAGATGTTGACAGTTTTCTTTTTTGATTATCTTTTCCAGTATCTTCCTGCATATTGATGTTAGGTTGATTGGTCTCTACTTTCCTGGATTTGGTTCTTTTTCCCTTTTTTCAAGATAGGAACCACATCAGTTCTTTTCCAGTCCTCTCGTAGTTCTCCGGTGCTCCAGGAGTTTTTAAAGATATATAACAATGGTTCTGAGATGACATCTGCCAGCTCATTTAGAACTCTGGGATGTAATTCGTCAGGTCCTAGTGATTTATATTCATCAAGATCAGAAATGTGTTCTATCATTTTCTTGCTTATTTTCATTGCTAATCTATCTTTTACAATTATGTGTTTGGTAGGTTGGGCTATAGTTTCTTTTTGTCTGAAGACTGATGCAGAGAATGAGTTAAGGAGCTCAGCTTTCTCTCTACTGCTTGTTACATCCTTGCCATCTTCTCTCTTTAGTGGACCAAGTCTAGGTATACTATGTCCACAGCATGTTGCTGGTCTACTAATTTAGTCACTTTCTCAAAGAATGAAATAAGATTGGTTTGGCATAATTTGTTTTTAATAAATCCATGCTGGCTTCTAGTTATAACTTTATCTGTTTCTAGATGTTCACAGATTTCTTTTTTTGATTATCCTTTCCAGTATCTTCCTGCGTATTGATATTAAGCTGATTGGTCTCTACTTTCCTGGATTTTGTTTTTTTTCCTTTTTTGAAGATGGGAACCACATCAGTTCTTTTCCAGTCCTCTGGTAGTTCTCCGGTGCTCCAGGAGTTTTTAAAGATATGGTACAATGGTTCTGAGATGACATCTGCCAGCTCATTTAGAATTCTGGGATTTAATTCGTCAGGTCTTAGTGATTTATATTCATCAAGCAGGTGTTCTATCATTTTCTTGCTTATTTTTATTGCTAATCTATCTTTTACAATTATGTGTTTGGTAGGTACTCTATTCCTTTCTTTCTTCTATTCATTCTATACACATATTTCCTGCATTTTTATAGTTGTCCCTTTCTCTATATATCATATATATAACAGCACCTTATCTGATATATGTGATGATATATTGATTAACTTTATGGTGCCACCTAACTCTTTACTGATTGTGCTGTCCATCTAGCAACATTTACATTTCAATAAATCAGAATTTGTAGGTTTTTCTTCCTCTCTCTGTCTCTTTTTACACACACTTACACCCACACATTTTCATTGGATTAAATAAATTAAATTAGTGCATTATAAAATGAGGTTTAACTTTAAAAAAGCAAAAAGAATATATATATCTGTTCGGTGAAGCACCCAGTCTATCAAATATAAATCAGTGTTCTACATTTCGCTCCAATCTAGGAGCATGTTTTGCAGGCAGACGTCACATACTGTGAATACTGTAAATTCAAAATTTGTGGCTGACAAAGAATTACTAGTCTCCCAATAACTCTTTGTCAGCCACAAAATTTTGAATATATATATATATATATTGCTCGCACAGGAACGAAGTCGAAGACCCCAGCCTGAAGATGACGAGTGAGACCTTGTCGAAACGTCGCCAAGATACTCTCAATCTTACACGGGAAAAGACCCAAATACGCCAAGACCTGCATATATGTGTGTGTGTGTGTGTGTGTGTGTGTGATTTTTTTGCCAAACTCCCAATTTCTATATCTGATTCACAGAATAACCTTTATTTAAACAACAAAAATTGCTTCTCCAGATCAATATAATTTCAAGCTGATGTTATCTACCTGTGGAACTTTGTAGATATCCAAGACATTTGCAATGTCAATTGATGTTTTGGAGTCTAATCCCCCAATCACTGCTGTCAGATGGTTCTCAATACCAGAGATGTAGTTGGGAACAAAATTCTTCAAGCTGTAAAGTAGAAGCATTGTGGCATGATAGGTCTTCTCTGCACTGAAGTGACTGTCATAAATGTGGAAGCCCAGGGTGACATTGGGTAAGATATGAGGATTTTCATTGATCTCCTTCACTGCAAATACCAAGGCCAGGATATGTTGGTAATTCTTAGGCAACAAGCTGGAATAGAATCAATTTATTTATGATATTGAAGTTTAAATCTAAAAAAACCTGTTTTGCATCCTCCTTATTGGGGTACCCTTGAAATCATTTCTTTTTATTATTACAGATATCTGGGTCATATTTAATTGATTAAGGACAATGGTAGGACAGTATAAAATTTACAAAGTTACAAAATGGTGTTTTATTCATTTTTATGCTTTTATTTCTGCAAACAACTTTGTGGTGCAGAGTAGTATACAAAATATAAGTCAATAAAAAGTGAGTTTGGATCATTAAATAATCTAAAGAAATACCACTCATCATTGGAGAATAGCATCTCCATATTGTATTAGCCAAAAGAGTGGGAAAATTGGAAGTGACAATCTCTGCAATTTATAAAGGGAAGGCTTTGGATTATTTATTAAGCTAATTGGAACTCTGAATAAATAGTTAAATGAGGAATTTTAATGCTGTATTTTCACTAATATTCTGCCCAACATATTAGGTTATGGATAGAAGAAGGAGAGATCAGATCAATAAAAAGGCAATATTTGTTTGAGAAGGTTTCAAAAGGAAATGATAGATGGCAAGGAAAATAATAAAGGAAATTATGGACATCCATAACAATTCAAAACTGAGTAATTGAATCCAGCTCTATGACCAATTATTCCCACAACAAAACTAAAGCAAAATCCTTACATGAGATCTTCCTGCAATGGTGGTGGTGGCACTTGTTCAAAATTTAGGGCACCATGCAAAAAACTGCCTAGGGTCCCTATGCCACCTACTATGAGATCTCCCCTTTGATGATATCTGTGATATGGCACAAAAAGACTTTGAAATTTACATTTCACTTGATCAGTCCTATATACTTGGGGAGAAAATAGTGTTAGCAGCAAGATTGTTAAAGCCACCATTCTCAAAGCAAATCCAAATTTTGCCTATCATAAGTATTGTACTTTTCTTATTTTTATTTTTATTTCTTTGTGATGTGAAAATTAAAGTCTAGTAATAAAAACTCCTGACAGCCAACCCTTTAGAGAAGAATCTATCAGAAATCACCCTGGACAGTTCGTGTCTGTTTTCACTCTTTCTTCCAGCTTGAAAAATACCATAAACTGGTGTGTTAATAATATCCTTCAAACTTTTTGCTGTTGATCTTGAACTTGGACATTGAAGTTCGGCATGAAGTAAACAAAAAGAAAACTACCAGTATTATTATAATTAAGGAACTAAGTAATTACCAGTATAAATCCCAGAGAAATAAAGAAAATATATGCTTTGGAAAGAACATTTATTATGAAATAATCAGTAACAAAAAAAGTTATGCTTTACATCATCTTTCCCCAACCTTCTGACCTACACCTAAAATATCAGCCCAACATATTTTACCAGAATAAAGAAACAATTCTACTTTGCTCGTTTTCACACTGTGCATATGGGAATATCTCATTTCTCTCCCAGGTCTCGTTTCCATTACATCATGTGATTCTCCTATTTTCACAGTAGCAGACAGTCTAATCCCCCAAATATCTGCACTGACTCCCCAGATAGAAGATGACCAAATCTAACCTATCTTCAGTTTTCTTAAGATATGCCTGAAAGTCTGAGAGAGAGAGATGAGAGAGGATAGATAGATGATAGATAGATATAGGTAGGTAGATGATACTGTGTTTCCCGGAAAATAAGACCTATCCCAAAAATAAGACCTAGCTTTATTGTTATGTATGCACTTAATATAAGCCCTGCCCACAAAATAAGCCCTAGTTTTGGGATGAGGCAAAGGCATAAAAATCAAGCCAGGGAGGGAGTGGAGCTATGCCCTGCACCCGCTTAGCTTAGGACTGTCACAGCCAGGCCTCTCACAGCCATCATGCCACTGGCCGACGTTTGCGGTCACTTGGAGCTGCTCGTGGATGGATGCCACGTGGCAGGATGCCACACTCGCAGCAGTAAGCCACATGCCAGTGCTGCCACCGTGGCAGGAGGCTATGTGGCTTATTGTGTTGGTGCACTGCTCATGGCAGGCCATGTGGTTTATCACACCAGTGCCACCGCTCAAAGCAGGAGGCCGTGCGACACTTCACACAAGTGCAGCCAATTGCAGCTTTGCTTTGCGCCACTGCTGTCGCTCACGGCAGGAAGCCACAAGGTGCATCGTGCCAGTGTAGTCATTCACGGCAGCAGGCCACGTAACACATTGTGCCATGGCATGCCAGAACAGCAGCACCAGAGCAATGCAACTCCTACTGTGAGTGACAGCATTGGCATGACATGAGACGTAACTTCCTGCCATAAGTGGCAGCACCGGCACAATGAGCAACGTGGCCTCCTGATGTGAGCGGTGGCACCGGCATGATGCACCACATGGCATCTGACAAGTGGCTGCAAGCAGCCACAGAATAATTCAGGCAGCAGCGCAACAGGTGTTGGGGCATGGGATGCCTAGCTGTGGTAGTCCTAAGGTAAGCAGGTAAGACATCCCCAAAAAATAAGACCTGGTGCCTTTTTTGGAGGTAAAAAAAATATAAGACTGGGTCTTATTTTGGGGGTTAGTCGTGTCCAACCCACCGCGACCCCATGGATGTTCCTCCAGGCCTTCTGTCCTCTACCATCTTCTGGAGTCCATTTAAGCTCACGCCTACTGCTTCAGTGACTCCATCCAGCCACCTCATTCTCTGTTGTTCCCTTCTTCTATTGCCCTCAATCTTTCCCAGTGTCAGGCTCTTCTCCAGTGAGTCCTTCCTTCTCATTAGGTGGCCAAAGTACTTGAGTTTGAACTTCAGGATCAGGCCTTCTAAAGAGCAGTCAGGGTTGATCTCCTCTAGGACTGACCGGTTTGATCCCCTTGCAGTCCAGGGGACTCGCAGGAGTCTTCTCCAGCACCATTTATTTATTTATTTATTTATTGTTCGAATTTATATCCCGCCCTTCTCCTTGCGGACTCAGGGCGGCTGACAATCAATTAAAAATACCAATAACATCACAAAATTTAAAATTAATTAAAATGAAATATTTAACTTGTCTAATTTAAAATATAATTAAAAACCCCTCTAAAAACCCCTCTTAAAAATTACCCTAGGCCAGTCCCGCTTGTTGGAATAGCCATGTCTTGAGGGCGCGGCGGAAGGAAGGGAGATCAGGGATCACCCTGATCTCTGGGGGCAGGTCATTCCAGAGGGTGGGAGCTCCCACAGAGAAGGCCCTCCCCCTTGGGGTCGCCAGCCGGCACTGTCTGGCCGACGGCACCCTGAGGAGACCCACCCTGTGGGAGCGTACTGGCCGATGGGAGGTAATCTGTGGCAGAAGGCGGTCTCGAAGGTATCCTGGTCCGCTGCCATGGAGCGCCTTAAAGATGATAGTCAGCA